ATGTTTAAAATTTGTTCTTTAGTAAAAGGGGGAATAAAAAAAAAGAGGGGAAAAAAAAAAAAAAAAAAAAAAAAAAAAAAAAAAAAACATTTTACACGCGTTATAAAGAGATTTTGCAGGCTTTACTTCCTGTGGTTCAAACAAATATTTTCATGATGAGTAGGATAAAAATATAAATATATTTTTAATCTTTTTCATGGCTGTGGAAAAACAAAACAAAACAAGACAAAAAACAAAAACAAAAAAACGAGACACACATGAGCTAGTTGAAAGACATTACATTGATAGTCATTTTAACACCGTGAGCCGTGGAGCTATTCTGGTTGCTGGATGAACTTCAGTAAACAAACGACAGGAGGAGCAGCACCTTGGAGAGCGCCAAAGTACCAAATGGCCTCAGGAATGCGGAGACGAGAACTTCTGATTGCAGCTACTGTTTTTTTTTTTTTTTTTTCCCAATATATGAACAAAGTATGAAATTCTTCGAATGTGCATCGCAAATAGCTGGAAAACCACGTGGAACAAACTACAGAGTTAACGCATCAAAAGCCATAAAAGACGAGTCCAGAGCGACAGTGGTTAAAATCTTCAAGTTAAACCCGGCGGCTAAGTTACATTTACTTTAATAATATTGTGAAAATTAGGTTACTTTTAGGAGCATTTTGCTTTTTCTTGAGTGATAATTATGAAGTGTTCTCACTTGAGTAAAATTCCTGGCTGGTCTATCTACCGAGTAACTTCACTGAATGAAGAACAAGTTAATTTTAACCCAGAACTCACCAGAGAATTTAGATGGAAATACATCTATGATTTCATTTTAAACGCTGGTTGTATCAGTGTAATGAGACGAGCACTGTACAGAAAGTTCATATTTTGTCTTTTAAGAAATATTTTCCCCAAAATATTGAAGATCACCAATATGCTTTTTGTTTTTTTTTTCTTGGAAATTGTCCCCACTGCTCCATATTTTCTGTTTATTAATAATGCCTCCACAAACTGATAGATGTTGGAGGTTGTACTTGATATGTTCTTATTTGATCTTCCTTTTCGAGATCTTTTAGCCTACTTTATGTTAAGAAACACAAAAAGCATTTAATCAGAGTTAATTCATGATTTAAGATCAAGAGTAATTCCCTTTTCACACAAGACCAAGATATTGCAACCTTTCTTCTCTTAAAAATTGCATCTTTTCTGCGAAAACAGAACACAAATCTTCAGTAAAGAACCAGAAGTCAACATTTTGCGTTTTTTTCTTTTTCAGCCATGCATTTATTGATCACACAAGGTGAATTCAGGTGTCTGGATCTCCTCTCCAGGCGTTCATCTGTACTTCTCAGACAGAGCCAGAGCCACGGCAGCCAGGAACTTATCCATGGCCACGTGGACCTCGGGGGTGAAGTCTTTGGGGAAGCTGATGGCCAAAACCACAAGGATGTTGTGGGCAAGAATCTGTGGAAAACGAGTGATGAGACAACACTTAGACTTCATGCAAGTCTAAGTGAAAAATAAAGGACCAATGAACGGCTCAAGCCACACTCTTAGCTCTGAATCCTCACCTTAAAGTTGGCCGGGTCCACTCTCAGCTTGAAGGCGTGCAGCTCGCTCAGGTTGAGCAGACCTGCAGTGAGGTCATCGATTTTAGCCACAGCGTCAGCTACTCCAGCCATCACCGTGGCTCCGTGCTTCTTCACTGGAGCAGAGCCGGGGCTCATGTCCTTCCAGTGGGAGAAGTAGGTCTTGGTCTGTGGGTAAACCGACAGCATCCTGAGTGGAAGAGTAGAATGGGTGGGTAAAATTGTAAACCAAAGAAGGTGTTGAAATTCAAAGGTTTCAGGTCTCATTTACCTGACAAGAGCATCTGTTCCAATGGCTGCTGCCTTGGGAGAAATCTTTCCCCAGAAGGCTTTGACGGTGTCCTTGTCCTTGGCAGTAAGACTAGTCATTTTGGCTGTTTCAATAACCAACTAACTAACCAGCTAAGCGCGAGAGCTACTTGTCTGAGAGGCAGCAGAGGAAACACCCAGCAGCACCTCCCCTGAAACGGTCCACGGGAGGCGGGCTGAGTAATCCTGATCAACGGTTTCTATGAGATAAAAATCTTTCAGTGTCTCTGAAATTTCTTTGAATTACAAACTATTATTCAAACTTACTCAGTCCTATATGACAAAATATTCAAAAATGATGAATAAAAGTGAGGAGGGTCAGGGCAGTTAGAAAATGGGAAATTTACTGTTAGATTTAAAGGTTTTCATTTTCTAATTTTCTCTCATTTGTATCTTGTTTAAAGGAATATGTAATGATTTTACACTTGTTGCTTGGAAAACTGGCTTCAGTGCATTACAGAAAGATTCACTCACTCGTTGCAGTCACAAATTTTAAGGCAGTTTGTATTTTTACTTGATAGATCAACACAAAGTAGCTCAATGTGAAGTGGGATGAAAATGGTACAATGTTTTTGAATGTTTTACTAAGATAAATCTGAAACGTGGCCGTATTTATGTATCCTTCAAGTAGAAGACAGCAGTTTAATCTTAGCATGTGGTCAATAACATAAAATTCCATTCAAATACATCACAACTTTGGTTATTACATCAAATTTGGAAAAGTGTTTAAACTACATGAATACTTTTGTAAGACATTGCTCAACAGGTTTATATTGAATTCATTTAATATGAAGCTGTCCTTTTTTTGTGATTGTACTACCAGAATTAAATCAACTTTCAATTACATTTTATACTGATGGAGTTATAGACAGGGGTCCCCCTCTTAAAGAACAATGCAACAACACAGAGAAGGTCCAGGCAGATTTTGAAAACCAGGCTCTGCAATCTGGGAAATATTAGATTTGTCTGGAAACATTCCAAGATGTTGAGTTTAGTTACTTTCTGGCCCCTGCAGCCAAAATATATATTAGAGCCTAATCTAATCAACTCCACTGCAGCTGCAGGGCTGGATCCACACTTATTGAAGAGACAAGTCTCATTTCTAGTTTAGCTGATAGGGTTGTGCTTTGACCTCCCTGTTATACTTCTAGTCCACGTCTGAGAAACGCTGTGGAAACGCTGTGTACCTCATTTATGAATAAGTTAAACAGAACATAAAGCATCATGCTGCTTGGAGACGGCCTGATAGCCTTTACATTTAACACGATCATCTATAATTTTCTTTCTAATCTCCTGGGACAACTCTGCTCTTTGCTTTCTGTGGTTCATGGTCAGTGTGATGCACACCATGTCGCCAAACAGCACAATAGTTACCTGTCACCCTGTAGCTCAGAGAATAGGCTTTAAAATGTTGTTAGTTTATAAATCACTGAACAGCTTAGCACCACAATCCATTAATGACCTGATGTTGCTGTATCGGCCTTCCAGACTTCTGGTTCTAGTTCTGCTCTGCAGCCAGAACCAGACATGGAGAAACAGCATTCAGCTTCTATGCACCACAAATCTGGAACAAACTTCCAGAAAACTGCATAACAGCCGAAACACTGAGTTTAAAATAAAAAAAAATCTAGACTAAAAACCCAGCTGTTTAGAGATGCTTTTGAGCCATAATAAATTAAACATCAACATATTTGATGTGCATTGATGACTGTGACGACAGCGCTCATCAAAATGTAATGTTTTACAGTGATTTTCTGTTGACTGCATGATATCTTTTATGACTTTGCAGTTTTGTGCTTTTATGCTGCAAAGCACTTTGATCTGCCTTCTTGCTGAAATGTGATATACAAATACATTTTTAAAAAAAGGGAGAATGATGCTTGTCAGAGGACACAGCATAGTTTGGATGATACAGATGGGAAAGATGATTCTCCCTCATGAAATTACATTGATAAGATGTTTTATTCTTTAATCTGGCAATGTACTTTTTAAAAAATAATTACTTTCAAATGAAACATTTCAATCACCACCATCTTTCATTTTGGATTAATGATGCACTGACTCAGGATAAGAACAATAAACACATTTGATGTAATAATACAGACTTTTAAAAGAAGACTGGCCGTTCTAAACAAGAGCAAAAGCATAGGTCGACTCATTTTACATAAGTAAAATAGATGTTACACCAAAACAAGTCAAATGGATATGTGATTATCTCTAATCAGGCAAAATAACTATTTAAAAAAACTATATACTTTACCTGGGTTCTTGCAGAAGAGGAGTAAAGCTCTGAAGACACAAAATCAACTACTAATAAATAAAAATAAGGATGAGCAGTAATTGTGCTTTTAACAAGACAAATATTAGCTCACTCATTTTGTTGACTTAATCTATGTTTCAAGCTTCAACTGTAGAGATGTAATCTCACTTACTATGGATCCAGTAGTGCGTTATCTCATCAGCTCCTCCCAATGACAAGCAGCTGTCTATAGCCAACAGCTGCTGCTGCCAGAGCGTTTTTCCCTCAAAGATTACAAATCGTGTAAATTTATCAAAGACGACTTCATTGTTTTTTGAGAAAAGCGCTGAAATGGACGCAGTCATCCCACCCCTAAAGTATACGTTATTTTTGTGGGGACCCATCTAAAACCCGGATACAGATTAAAGTATTTCATTAAAGCTATTTTAAATCAGACTACTCGGAGAGATATTATATCAAGCATTGTTTTGTGTGTGTGTGTGTGTGTGTGTGTTGCAATGTCAGGTTTCCAGGTAACTAGTTTTTCCCAATGAATTTCAAAACATTTTAAGGCCTCAATTTTAGATGTACAAGTTGTAGGATGCACAGAAACTCTGAACCTTGAATGAACAGAAGACAAAGCACGTGTTCTACATTTATTAAGTAGTTTTTCAAAAACGCACATATTACAGAGGACAGAGTCTATAATTTACAGAAACCAGCAGAGAGAGGAAAAAAAAACTGAATTGTGCCATTACATACAACTGGAGTGAGGTTAAAAACCTCTATATGTATAAAAAAGATAGATACTTAAATTAAAAACTCCAAAGTTTATCAAAAATTCTTCACTAAAAAGTGGATATGAAAAAAGTGGAAAAAACCTTTAAAAAGTAAAAGACATTTTGACATCAGCTTACACACTTTTGTAGAGTTAGACTTTAGGCATAACCATTCTGAGTTTGCGTTGACATATATTATTTCAGTATTTATATCTTACACAAGACACACTTAAAACTCAGTCAGCACACTCACTTGCCGTTTCCCTGACAAGACCTACAAGCTTCTCTAGCGCCTTCAGTCACCGTTCAACCAAGTTAATCTTACAAAAACACGTTGCATAAGCAGATACAATCTAATCTCTTCTTACCACTGCTGAAGATACCTTCCTGACTATAAATTAAAAAAAGACTATGCATTATACACAGTCAAAGTTGAGGGAAGAGACAAATCTTTTGGTATAATTTGCCAATGCATAAAATTTTTATTCATTGTCTGGTAAGACATTTCCCACTGCCTGGGAAATAAGATTAGAATCAGAGGTCCTGAAAAAGAATAATAATAATAAAAGATAGAAAAATACTCTGTAAATAAATCCTGTGTATAAATAGACAGAATGTGGAGGTGGTGTCTTTTGTTTTATTAATTAGTAGCACCAATGAGCTAGTTGATGCAAGGACACTTATTTATGAGAGGGCTGGCTTTTGTTATTCCAAATGGCAGTAATGGTCGCACATAATGACACTGCAGAACAGATTTTTCCTCAAATAGAATTTCAAATGAGACAGATTATGAGCAAAATGAGAAGAATGACTCAACATCATCAGGATAATGAAATTTGTTAACAGTTTTGACTTAAGTGCCACCAAAAAACAAAACAGTGTAAAGAACTGAAATGTTACATTGTCAGACTGATGAGACTAAATGACAAAGACAGAACAAAACTAACATATGACAATGTTTTAAGCTGTCATGTTATTATTATATGCACAATGTGATGTACCTAAAACTTTCAGAGTGGAACAAATACATGAACAGACACACTGTGTTTTTTTTTCTAAATTACAAGGATGGAGAAACATGAGTGGAAGCTGCTGCGAGCTGCAGGAGACGAGTTTATTTTGGTTCACCAGATGGAGGAGAGGAACCCAAGAGAGGCGACTTAGGCGACACCTAGAAAGAGCAAACAATAAATAACTAAAAATCAGTCAATACATAAACAGAAGTAGAGAACTTTTATATTTTCTGAGCGCATGCAAGAAGCTTAGTGTACTTAAAACATACTTTTAGATGTGCAACGTCGGAAGTAATAAATTGTATGCTGCTTCCAATATAAATTGTATGACTTGAAGTCCAAGTGCAACCATTTGTGAATATCTTCACAATATTTTTGAATATTTTCTTAACATACAAAGAGGAATGATGAAATACCTGGACAGAATTAATACTTATTTTATTGTATTTGTAGGTCAAGACCCAGGCATCCAGCAGTCAATGAGTTGACAGTGAAGTTGAAGCACGTTGGTCCTGTGGCCAACAAATCTTCTTCTACCACACTGACAGTTTGTATTTTATGTCTCTGCTCTGATTTTTTTTTTTTTTTTCACATATGGAACTTTGTATTTTTTTCCTGATGTTTCCATTTCTCCTGATTTATTTAGATTTACCATTGGAAACATAAATGTTGTAAATAAGCTTTTGCTTCTGTATAGATTTCTTCTGTTTTTACTTTTTTGTCACGCTTGGATGCAGAAACCCCCTCGCCCTCACCTTTTAATGAATTTTAATTTTTAAGGAAAAAATGTATTCCAACCAACCTGAATCTTAATGAAAAATAAATAAATAAATAAGCAAAAACAGAAATAATAATAATAAAAAAAAACATAAGGAAAAACTTTTCGCAGCAATTTAAGTTGCAATGCCATATTCTAAGTAAAGCACATTTTTCCCATAAGCTATTCTTGTTCAGCCTTCCTTTGTCTTCACCTTCCTGAAAATGAACATTTAAAACGCCAACATACTAGACTGAAGAGTATAGCACAGATATTTGGGGGTTTTGTAATTTACCTGAGCCTGGAACATTCCTACCCACAAGAGATTTTCCAAGGGCAACAATTTAAAACATTATGTACTTTGACCTCCTTAAAAAAAAAAGTAGGTAGCCATAGCTTGATAATAGCATTTTACCAGCCTAATTCAGTACTCACAGGTGAAGGAGGCTTGGCAAAGTTAAGGTGGGCATACAGGAGTACAGCAATGTCGTTTTGGCTGGCCTCCAGGGCGATGGACAGAGCAGTGCTGCCGTCCTACATGACACAATGGGATGAAAACTAGACGATAGCAAACACTGGGGAACAGCGAGAGGTGGACCAGGTTTGCTTACGTTATCGGTGAGTGTCGCATCGCAGCCTGGGACAGAGAGCAGCTGACGAACAATGTCCACATGACCGTGCTCACAGGCACACATGAGGGCAGTGGAGCCATCATCGTCACGGATGTTGACCTGAGCTCCACAGGACAACAGCGCCCGGACCATATCCCCTCGTCCGTGACTCACGGCGAGCATCAGCGCCGTCTGACCAGCCTGCAAACACACATGTGGATCCGAACACCAAGACCGACAGTCAAACTGTTGAAAGTTATTCATAAAGAATATTTGACTCTGACTGGAGTTTTTGCAGGCATCAGGGTGCAGTAAAACCTAAGCAGCAGCAGGGGGCGCACCTGGCTGGCTCTAGCGTTGACGTCTCCGGTGCGGAGCAGCTGCAGGACAGTTTGGAGGTCGCTGTCAGAGTGAAAGGCAGCCAGAGCCGTCAACATGATGGCTGTGTAGCCGGCCTTGTTCTGCTTGTCAGCATTGCACAGGCCTGTCAGGTAGAGAGGGCAATCAGTGTGGCAGGAGGTAGAGCAGCAGCAGAAAAATAAAAATCATCATATAACATGCTAAAGACAGGCTAATCATTGAGATGCAAGACACATCATCTCTCTTAGTCATCATTAGAGTAGATTAATAACTTAAAATGGAATTTTCTACTCTTATAGTGCTGTTATTTGGGTTTAAACACATTTTTGCTTACATGTTCAGTATTTGTCCATCCCCATATTATTTAGTTCATTTAATCAATTTAAAATATAAATGCAAAAAAAAAAAAAATGTTCGACAAATATTTTTGCATTAGGCAAATTTTATATATAGAATCCTTGAAAATCAGAGAATTACAGACAAATATGGAGAATACAAGGAAGGAAGGGCAAAAAACAAGATAGGAAGTGAGGAAGGAATAACAAGACAAGGAGGAAGGAAAAATAAAAACAGTGAAAGAAGAACACAAGAAAGACGGAAAGAACATGGAGATGAAACAAAGAGAATGAAGAATACTAGGTACCATGGAAGGAAACAAAGTAAAGAGTCATAGGGAAACGGAGTAAGGAAGGAAACAAGGAAGTAGAGGAGATGATAAAGCTTGGAAATGTGGATATTTGCCCGTAATCGATTTTTTTTTTTTAAATACTTTTCCAGACCTGGAAATTACTTGAAGCAAATTCCAAACTTCCCAGCTAGCTCTTATTATACAGAGCCGTCACGCCAATATGAAACAATTTCACAGTAATACCTGAAACACTTTCGCTTGCATTACCCCATTTCATGCACTGATGCATATAAAAAAGACAAAGAGTCAGGGTCTGTGGTCACATCATATCTCAACTCTCACCAGTGTCCAGCAGGAGTTTGACCACAGGGAAGTTGGAGTGAGAGACAGTGTAGTGCAGCGCCGTGTTCCCGTTGCCATCTGCCATGTTGATCACAAATTCCAGCAGCTGAGGGGAGATGGAGGCAAAGGTGTCCATGTAGGCCTTGACGACCGCTGTGTTGGCTGCCTTGTGACAGGACACACGCAGCCACTCCTGTAGGACGATGGTGTAGGCCGTCCTCTGTGAGCAGACACAATGAGGACGCTTGAGGCAGATAAACATTTAACAGACTGCCGAGTACAAAGAGATGACTGGGTAATGAACTCAAAAGTGAAAGCAAAATGCATTGTTTGAGATTTTAGTTGCAGAAAACAATATAAAACAGACGCGTCACGCTTAGCTGTTTAACCAAATACAGAGCACTTTGCAAATTGATTCATTCTTGATCTTTTTTTAGATTTTGTCACATTACAGTCAAATTCTGATACGTTTTAAATCAACAAAATCCAAATATCCATTTGTGGCAAACCCCTTTTCACTGATACCCCTAAATGCAATGAAGTGTAACCATTTGCCAATAGAAGTAAAGTTGTCCAAAAGCTTAAAGCAGGGTCAGATTGAGGAGCTGCAGAGATCCACAGTTCAGGTGGGACAAGATGTTGAGGACAACTAATTCCAATCTGGCTCTTATAGATGAGTAGAAAAAGGAAAACCTTTCATTGGAATGTGTACAAGTTCAATCTTCACTTTGCACAGCAAGCATGTTGAAAAGCTGCTTGGGTCAGATTAAACCAAATCTGAACATGTTGACCCAAATGTAAAGATCGATCTGGCAGAAATCTGACACTGATAAAGGGATGCTAGTCTGAGTTGATGGGATGATGCGTCAAGATAAGCACAAGGCAATCCTCCAAAAACCTCTTAAAGGCTGCAGGAGGACACGTCTCCTTGACAAATCAAACAAAGCTCTCTCCCACTTGAAGCCAAAGCCAAATGCAATTATTAAGGTCTAAACATATCCATGTTTAGACCTTAAGAACTGGCAGACCTAAATCCAATTCAGAATCATTAGGACTTAAAAAGTTATGTTCATATGACATTTCAGTCCAGTATTACTGAGAATAGTCTGGTCTGCAAATACAGACTTCCTGGGGAGGAATACCACTAGAAACCAGTGATAATAAAAATATTTTTTTATTAGTGGAAAAACAATAATTTTCCTTTTACTCTACAGTTCTACTTTATGTTCCATCACATTACAATCCTAAAATACATTAAAATGTGTGGTTGCAATGTAAGAAGTTGCGAAAAAAAAACCAAAAAAAAAAAACCTAAAGGGGCATGGATGCTTTTGCAAAACACTGCAGATCAAATCTCACAAAGCATATCGTTTCAAGAAAGAGAAACCATCATTAGTTTCTTGGATTTCTAAGACGCAGTTAATGAGTGAATTAGTGTGGAGACGTACTGCTGCTTGTTGGCTGAAAGCATTGGGCTCCCCCAGGGCTTTCTGCAGAGTATAGAGAGCCGACATCAGGCTTTCACTCAGCTCAAGCCTGCACAGACAACAGACAAAACAGAAAAATCAGAGAGAATCTTCGCTGACAGATTCTCCTTATAGTGTGTCTACATTTACCTGACTGGTTTAGAGGACTCGTGTTTAACGCTCTCAGGTGCTGCTTTGGACTCTGGCTGACAGGAGGTGGTAGACGTTTGTGACAGAGGGTTTACCTCTGCAGATTTAGTGATGCATGTTGAAGAACACTTAATGGCGATTGGTGCAGATTCGGAGTTAGGTGATGTGGAAGTGATCTCCTGGGTAACAGTGTGCTTATCTGCTATTTGGTCCACAGGGGAGGCAGAATCCTTGGCTGGAGGCATTGAGGTGGAGTTTGTCGTCGATGTGTGGGAGGCACATTTTCGCTCAGAGTCAGTCGCTGGTGACTGATGAGCATTTTCCGGCAGTTTTGTGTCTTGTAAGTGGGTTATAGCTGGCATTTTTATGGCAGTTTGTTGAGGTACACTGGTGCTTTCTTCTTGGGGTTGGGGAGTTTTATTAACAGTTACACGCTGGAGCTGATTGGTGGACTCTGGAAGTTTTTCTCTTGCTTCATGGTATTCACTGGAGTCGCTCCCATCGTCTGAACTCTCACTGCTGCTGTCATCTGAAGAGGTGGACTCGTACCTGGAAGACGGTGCATCTTTTACTCCTCTGAAATGTTATTACGAAGTTCATGAAAAGTAATAAAGTTATGTCTGCTTTATTTCCATTTACAGCATCACTTTGGCTCTAATGATTGCAGCGCTAAGTGGATAAAAATGGCTCGGTGCTGCTTTGCTGTAATAGCCACTTACCCTCCATTGACTCCAATGAACTGCAGGTTTTTCTTTGTAGAGGGGGAGCCTGGTTCACCTTCTGCTTTCCGCTTCATAATTGATCTCAGCGAGGACTGGGGAGATGAGGCTAAAAATGAGAAACCATCAATCAAAGTTAAAGTGACAACATGATGCTTGGAGAACAAAGTCAGAACACTTCACTTAACTCAACCCACAGACCTGATTTAGAAAAGACCTCGGGAGACTCTTCTTTGGTTTGCACCAAGCCAATCTGATCACCAGATGCTACAACGATGGCAGGATTACTGACGGGTACAGAGGTGGACAGTCCACTTTTCAGGACGTCACGGACCTGCTTGGAGCTGACTGCAATCGGCAACTCAACGGGGGCTTTTGAGACATGGGAGGAACTTCAATAAGTAAATGATTACAAAAAAAAAAAAAAAGCAGTACAGTACTGAACATCCATCCCAATAAGATTTGATTCTTCCCAATCCGTTTTAGTTTAACTATCCAGTTTTTGTGTGGAAAATGCATACAACTTTCAGAAAATGTTTGTATAAATAAATGCTTGTTTAAAGATAAGAAACTGTGAACTTAAGCCCTAATTGGACCAAAGTAGTTTCCAAGTTTCTTCAAGAGAAAGTCCTTAAATGTTCTACAAACAGTTAAAAATTCATTTTTTCATTCATTCATTTTCAAAATGAAGCCATTCATTCCAATGGCTTCATTTTTTCAGAGAATCATATCATTTTGTCACTTTGAACTTCAACTCTCTTATTTCCTCTTCCCAGTGATTTTTTCAATCAATCTTCATAGGGTTGCAGTGAATCACATAACACAAGGTTTGTCTTTTTATTCCTGTAAGAAGGTGGATCAATGACCAAGTCAAACACTTTGTTTGCCAAGATTATTCACAAACCAGCATATCCGACTTCTTAGCAGTACTCATGAACGTTCAGTTAAAGGAATCCTCACAATTCATTGTTAAGCAGATTGATAAATGCCAGATGGCAATAATAAAAGACTCAATGTTTATAAACAAAGTCGTAAATTGTGTTTATACGTTCGGTTGAAAAATGATGACTGCAGAATTGTGCGGCAGCTTAAGTAGAATTTACATGAAACTGCAGGAAAATGGAAAACAGCAAGGTCATGTTTTCATGCATTAGTAACTCTAACTTTGAATGGTTTTAACATGGAGGTCTCTATATTAAGTCTGGTTGGTCATGATTAAATTTACCACAAGACCTCATTATAAAGGTGTTTTCACACCTGATAGTCCGGTAGACCTGCTTTTGGAGAGGTCTCCGGTCTGCTTGCCTTTCATAAATGCCATCAAACCACACCAGAATTCATTTCAACTGAACCAAAACTTTTAGGCAAACCAGCGTTTGGTCCACATTAGCTGGTTCACATCTCTCTAAACAAGCAAGAATTTCTAGGCAAACCAACTAGAGTTCGACTAAAGCAAACTAAACAGGGCTGGTGTGAATTTGTCCAATCCCACAACAGCAAAAAGGAAATGTAAAGTTAGCACCAGGGCTGGAGCTGATAAGTTTAAGTTTATTAATGTTACTAATAGAGCACGGTCTCTGAAGTGGAACTACTTTGGTGGAAAGACCCTCAGTTTTTCTCCCTACATCATCAGTTTGACACAAACCTTCAGTTTGTCCTTTGTGGTGACCTTCTGTAACTCCACCCGCTGGCTGAAGTGAGGGAGAGCTGCAGGTCTCTGCTCGGAGCAGCGTGCCCACCTCCACTACCGTAGGTTTCTCCAGTGTGTACACCTGGATCCCCACAGTTCTCTGCTCCCTCTGCTGTGGCTGCTGTGTGAAGCTGACCAGAGTGTGCAGACTGCTGCCTTGTGGTTCCTGCCACCCAATGCTGGTTGCCATTACCGGATGCTCTGCCTGTGGAGCCTTCTGCAGCTGTGCAGCCTGCAGTTCTTGCAGAGTCCTCTTTAGCTTCCCCTCAAGCTGACCAACTTGATCTTTGAGAACCTCTGCTTCTGGGAGAAGACCCAGATCCTTCTCTCGAACCCAGACCCCCACATCACGACTGCCCCAAGACCCCTCTGGTCCAACTCCAATGGTGCGAACTTCTCTCTTACCATCTGGTCGGGCTCCACCCACAATCACTGTGTCCTCGATTTCACAGCCTGAATCCTGCTTAGAGACTTCAGTCGGAGACAATGACTCTGTTGTCTTGGTGCTTTTAGCTGCCGTGCCTACCTCCTCCTCAGGAATGTCGATGTACAGCTCCCCACGGTTTCGACCTCGGCTAAAACCCAGAGTGTGTCCAAGAAACTTTTGGCTTTTGAGCTGAACGCTGAGCTGCCTTTTCTCCTCCTGCAACACAGAGATTTTAACTTGCAGCACAGGGATGGTCTTCACCTGCTCCTCCAGCTCTTTTATCTTCCTCAGGGCTGCAGCCATCTGCTCTCTGACATGTTGCAAATGCGCAGGGGTCGGAGTCACTGGTGTGGACAGGCCCGAGCTCATAGGAGTGAAGGTCCCACCCCCACCGTGTGCCCGGTTGAAGCTGTGCGCACTGCTAAGGGAGGTGTTGGACCCTGCCATACTGTTGTTCATGCTGCCGAGGTTGGAGAATCTCCTCCCTTCTTTCTCCTCCTCCAGCTTCCTGCGAGCGTCTAAAAGGGTCTTCTCCACCCGAGCTGTGCTAAAGCTGGGTCTCTGTGATGTGTGGTAGCCTGGGGCACAGTAGGAATAAGAGGAATGCCTGCTCTCCACGCTCGCATTGGAGCACAGAGACTCCGTGGAGGTCCACCAGGAGCCGGTGTAGCCGTACCCCCGAGGCAGGGAGCCATAGCGCGGCCGGCGCTGTATAGGCACCTTTTTAATAGTGTTACCCTTTTCTATGTCGTTAACATATTTGAGGAAGTCCAGGTCCAGACGGTAGCCATAGGGGGTCTCCACTGAGTAGGGCGCCTCCTGTTCTTTGGTGTGCAGCGTCGGAGGAGCAGGCGAGTTGAGTTTCCCTGCAGGGGAAGGAAATCAACGTTAAACAAACGGAAATCTTTGTCTAATCTTGGGCTCAGACTTTAAAAACAGGAATAATCTCTGGAGTCCTGTGTAATAGAGTGTGCACTCTGTAAAATTCCCCTAATTAGACACCAAAGGGATTGTTGTTAAATCTAATCTCACTTTAAGACGAAGTGCACATATGGGTCCTAAATATGTGACAATAAAAAATAATAATAATAAAAGATGAATAAACGAGTCAATAAAGTAATTATTGAACCAGCAAATACAAAGAGTTTAGACAATTTAACTCAAACAATTAATTAAAGATTATGAACTAATTTTAGGAAAACATACACAGAAAATATTCAGTTAGCAAATATGTGCCTGTAAAAAATAAGGGCCTAAATAAATAAATAAAAGATTAAAAATAAAATGGTAAATTAAACAAACGGGTATGATGACACAAATAAACTACGACATTTTTAAAACTTTTTTTCCAGAGCATTTGTCAGGATGATTATTACTCTATGATCCCCCAAAAACCTAAAGCACTGAAATGCTAAGGCTAATACATTTAAAATGAATTATGTGGCAACGCAAAAATATCTTCAAAGTAAATACAAATATGCAAGTTTTTAAAAAAACCCCTCTCTAACCATATTTTTTTTTTAAATCTTACATTCACTCCAGATAGTTGGGTGTAGTTCTTTAACTAAATCAGGGGTCAGTAAGGGGTTAAATTAGCTCTGCTGTAAAAACCCATTTATAGCTTTGTTGTTGGTCTAATTCAGACAAAACAAAACTCTTATCCGCTACTATTACTCAGTGATCTATGTGGCACCAGGAAAGATGAAATGATAAAACTATCCTTTTGGAAGAATTCTTTTAAAATTATGATTTTTTTTTTAAACAGAGATATAAACCCTTACATGTTTCTAGTTTTTCTGGATTTTTTTTTTAAAATAAAGATTTAATGTAGCAGCATATATTCAGTCATTATTGATATTATCAGTAAACATAAAACCAACCTGGGAAGCCAGGGTCCATGTGCAGCACCTGAGCCATGACGAACCAGCAGCTGCTTTTCAGTCACACACACAAACTCTCACCTGTGAGACGACAGACGGCTTTCAATTAATAATGAGCAGACTGGATGTTTCCTGCACCAACAATAATACAAAGTTGAAGTAATTATTTTAATTATCTGTTGATGAATGAGCTGGACAGAACACACAGTGTAGTTTATATATATATATATATATATATATATATATATACACATATATATATATATATATATATATATATATATTATATTGCACGGCTTTCTCAGCTTCTAATTTTACTCGTTTATCCTCTCAAATACAGCCGATTGTGTATTTGCTTCTGTTCTTAGCAGCCTGAGAAGAGCTACAGGGGGAAAGTTTCCTGGCAGCCGAATCCAGCACAGAGATTTGCCAGTTACAGCCTTATTAGGAATCATCTGCGCACACCAACTTTGTCTCTCAATTTAAGGTTTGCCTCTCTGCTCCTTTTCACTTTCTTTTTTTTTTTTCTTTTAATCTTCCACATCAGTTCTTTTCCGTCTCTCTTACTTGGTGTCAGCTGATGATCAGGGGCTTTTGGGACTGCTCACTTGTTTTTCTCCACTATTCCTCAAATCTACTTGAATGTTTCTGTTATTTCAGAGGTGGTGTGTTTGATTTCTTAAAAAACAAAAGATTTCCTTTTTTGCCTTTTTAACGTGCTGGCAGAGGCAGCACCGAGTCCCCCTCACGCCAGTCATTTAGAGTTTGTATCTTCTTGGAAAAGATTAACTTTCTAGGTCATCACTTTGTGGGAACGGGTACGCTTAAGTCAGCCACAGAAAAGTTCAACTTAATTTTATTACTGCAGCTCTAAGAAGCTAAGACCAAACATTTTAGCAAAAAACAAAACAAACTCTGCTTTATTTCTGAAGGGATAGTCAATTTGATTCAGCACTGGGTTGTTTCTCTTCTCCTCTTCCCACCCTTTGTCTGTCTTGTGACCATAACTGGTGCTTGCTCGTTTGTGAAAAGTAGGACGCTTGGAAACACTGACTGAGCAGACTTGGTATTTTTGAAGTGCTGTGTTCACTTAAATTTCCTCTAATTCTCCTCATCTGTGCTCCTTCATCACATACATTCTGAATAGCCACATACCATGGAGATGTGACAGTAAGGTATGCATTCATACACACAGCAGATATTTGAAAGCCCTCCTTATCAGACTGCTGTAAGAATCAGTAAACTGGAAGGTGCGTCAAGAACCAACGTTTAGTACCAAGTGAAATTAATAAATGCCCCAGATGGACATGGGCTGGTTAAACCGCTCAAATTTAAAATACTGACCTTACAATTCAAAGTGTTTTTTTTTTTTTTTAATTATTTTTTTATTAAGCTTTTAGAAGAGCTAGACATGAGTTTTCTCTGTCTGTATAGAGTGGTGATGCTTTATCACTTGCTGTGTCCCTACACTTTTTCCATATTTAAAAAGGAAAAACAACCAGGCTATTCGGAAATACAACTGATCAAAAATATGTAGGACTTCAAAATAATATCAGTTAATCACATGCTAAATTACAATGAGCTTGGGAATTTCCAGTTTCCACTTTCAAAGGGCAATTTTGTTGAAAGAGACATCATAATAGATTTTATTTATGGTTTTGGTTGCAAGTGGTTTTTATTTCTGTTCCCATTTTTGGTTGCTCTGTTTTATTGTGGATATTTAAAATATCTTCCAGTTCCACAGTGGAATGTTCTTTACAAAATTAAAATTTATTGGTGTTGGAGGGAGTGAAAATTGCAAACGCAATACCAATTCATTACTTGAAAATGGTCTCCAAACAACAATATTATCATTTATCTCAATAATTGCTGGGGCAATTTATAATCCTGCATAATTTGCTATGTTTAGAGGCTTAATTGGAAACCAAAGGAGAACCAGTCAACACCCTCATTAGGGTACTGCCGTTTTAAAACCACTGTTGTCCAGGAGCAACCCACATGTCTGACAGCAGATAGCCAAGCTCATGAACCAACAAATATCAGATCAGTCTTACTTTGCAAAGAGAAGAACAGGAAAACAGGAGTTGACAGTTTTGATGAAGTCAGAAACGTAAAAATACATACATAAATCTTATTTCTGGTCAGTGAATGCACTATGCATATAAGCTGAAACGGGTCAACGATGCACTATGCAAGTTCAGTCCATTTACAGTTTAGCCATTGTGGACATTTTCATAGAGGAAAGAAGAAGGAAAGTTGGGTATTTCAGTATTAGTGAGGTTTTAAAATATACCAGAAGATGCTCAAAAGCTGTTAGTGGCTCTTAGAAACTGTTTTCTGTGTCAGCTGTTCATTCATGGCTCTACCTTTAAACGGGGAGTTAAAGTTCACCAGATAAGATAAGGAGAACGCATTACAGCAGCATTGCCCTGCTTTTCTGTTCCTACAAAACATTTAAACACTTAAAAGTCTCCAAGCAGCCAATTCTTAATCCTTGATATGAATTGTTACTTAGCCTTACATAAACATTCCCCATACTGTGGGAGTCTATGGAGAAAAAGGACGGATTGGTAATCTTAAATTATATGATGATAGGAAAAAGAAGAAGTATTTGAGCTGCCTCCTTGAGGATTTATTTTAGGTCCGTTTATCTCCAGCGCAAGTGTGAAACTGATTATCTTGCTGCACTTGTAGTGTGGTGTCAGTACGGCCAAATGTGTGAGAAAGCGACACAGAGACTGTGACAGAGTGTGAGAGTTTGTGGGCAGGAGGGCGGAGGACAGAAAGGAGAAAGTTGATGAGATATAATTAGAGCCGGCAGTTTAGCCACCAAACATCCCATCCAGACACAAAGGCTGACGTCCGCTAAATTTGTCCCGATTCCAAAACCCTTTTTCTCCCCCTCTTCTCTGCAAGCTACTCTCTGCTTCAAAGTTTCCCCTTCACTCCTTCTCTGGAAGCTCTTCCTCCCACATCATCCTCCCCGAATGCCCGCACCACGAGGCCTCCACATCTGTTTTTACATCAGCGGTGAATGGGGGTGATTCAGCTGCGTCTCCATGTGTGCATACGCATTCCCATAAGCGTCGTAGCATTACTGACCTTCTTACCATTTTCAGCTCTCAAGCTTCTACCATTCTTCAGATGCCTCTCCCCGACCATCCCGACTCTTCCCCCCATTAAATCCACACCAAAGGAAGCTCTCACTGCCCGGTCTACTCCCTCCATTCTCTGCCATTAAGATTAAGCTTGGCCTCGAGGGGGTAAGATGCAGGTCATCCAGCACAAATTACATGTCTGTGGTATGTCCTGTAAGATGTCACGAGACTAACCGCGTCGCACTGCGACTTCATCACCCTCCGGTGCAAACCGGTTTGTGCTTCAGATTTATTTTTTAAACTAAACTCTTGCATCCCATCTGGGAATTTGAAGACTGGCTTTGATTTACAGCATGCATAAACATTCTTGTCTCTTTGGTGTGTCAGAGGACCGAGACCACCCTCAGGAGTCATTTAACATACCAGGCAACATTTTTGAAGTCGGCTCTACTAAGTTTAACAGACCAATCGAGTCATTTTATTAATATTATTGCCATTGCAAAAGATTAAAAGTGTCGCGGTTGCCAAAGAATTACCTCTGGTCTAAAGATTAGGGATTTTTCCGTTGCAATACGACTCTTTGGTTTTATTATGATGGCTATTTTGCTGAACGTTTGGAAATGGGTTTTGACTTAGGAAAAAAAAAAGTTTTTTTTGTGCTCCATACCAGCTGCTTGCGCTGTGAGGATGGGATGTCTCCTCCCCAGGATCCTCGCTCTTCCTCACTTCTCTTTCCCTCAACAGTCAACACCTGTGGGACATATGAACAAAAGGAAACCTGAATTTTATCTGTGTACGCTCTACTGTAGCAGTCTGAAGACTGGAAAACCAAAAATAAGGGCAATATCTAAGCCCCATTTAATGGTGTGCAGACAAAAACAAACTTACGTCAGGTTACAAAACAGCATCAACACACCGCAACACTTGAAACAGGTTGGGAAAAATAAAAGCATCCATAAAAATTCCAGTGGTTTGACTGACAACTCGGATGCAAAGAATACACACCCGTAGGATGAGCTTCTCAGACCCCGTGATCCATGTTTAAGCGCTCCTCTTTCCCCGCCCTGTTCCACACTTCTGCTCTGGGTACACTAATCAATTCAAGGCTACATGCGGGAGTTGCCTTCCCCATGTGATTGGGCAATGTGCGCTGTTTTCTTGTGACTAATACTCCTAAATCCCATGGCACAGACACACACCCTCCAAGTTTGGTGGGAACAGCCATCACCTATGCAACCCAAACTGATTTCATGAGGCTTTTACTGCATTCCTCATTATGTAGACTTAACCACTGCATGAGTGTTCAGTGGATAAGCTACATGATGGGTGCCTGCAGATTCTCAGCTACGATTCGGGCCGGACATTTTGTCTGCCGGGCCTCAGAATTACCAAAGAGTGACCTTTGCATAATATCATAACAGAGCCCCTGGTTGTTCAGGCCATTGTTTAATAGTGTTGTCATGCCAGTGCCAGTGGAGGCAAGGGGGGGGAGGGCGGGTAGGAGGGAAGGTAGTGGGAGAAACAGATCGTTTCAGACCCGGAACGACGGCCAAATCACAAAGAGCCATTCATTCGGCTGCTAGTTCCACAGCTGGTTCTAATAGAAAGCAAGGAGGGGCATCTCAGAGACATAGAGGCTGAGAGAAACTGTATGTGCGGCGAGGAAATTTGCCTCAAAAACAAACAAACAGTTGACGAACTGCTGCTACAAAAGCCGCACGCTGAAAGTAAGTGGAAATAAAAGAAACAAAACGGGCACCGAGGGGACAGACGTCCGGAACTGATTTGGTCGTGTCCAAGAAGCATTTTTAAACTTTTCCCACTACGGAATCAACAACAGACTACTGTGTGCAGATGATTTTTGTTAGAAAGCCAGCACTGGAACAATAATGAATGCAAACTGTTACAGAGGAGACTGACAAAACTCCCACGCCTCCCATGAAAACACACAGATCCCCCAACACGTCAGCGCCGTCTGAGGCCCGAAACTCCCACAGATCGCCCAACACAGCTGAAGCTATTAAGTTGATTTATTCAGGTAACGAGCATTAATTATATAAAAACCAAACGATTTGGCTGTTTTTAAATTCACTGAGAAAACATCAGCAACAGGCTGCTAAGAAAAGGGCACATTTTTCATTCATTAGGTCAGCTAAGTAAAAGTTAAAAAAAAAAAAGCCTCTTATCAGTTTATGTCCTGGTGTCATCATAGCAGGCTAATTTATGTTACAAAATAGAGATAATGGGTTGAGATCTGATGAAGAAACGGGTTACAGGAAGGGGATTTTCATCTTTGTATTCCCCAAGGACACAAAAACAACCCAGTCACTTCCTCCCAGCCCAGGAGAAAGAGTAAGAGAGCAAAAATGAGCAAAGAAAAAAGAAAAACACAAAGCAAGAGAGGGAGAAATGTGCTTAGAGCAGAGCAGCATGTGAGGGGAGAAAAGAGTGGGAATGTAAAGGAAGAAAGCTTAAGTCAGAGGAAAATGGGAGTTCTCCTCCAGAATGAATCCCAGCTGAACTTCTGCTGCTTTTAATTTAAAAAAAAAAAAAAAAAAAACATCAGAAAGATCACAAAAGGACTAAAATGGCTCCTCACAAAGCATAAACAAACTTTTCTCATTGTCTTTAAAGGTTACGCCTAGAAGAATACCATCATTTACATGTTCCACCCACCCAAAATAGACTGACGACAGGGCAACCCAGCATGCAACACAATGCAACAAAACACCAAACCAAAAAAAAAAAAAAAAAACTACATTTCTACAGACTAAAAAAAACCACAAAGAAGACACCCATCTCAGATATTCACAAAAAGTTACACAAAGGTCAGTAAAAAAAGGCTCTGCTCCAGAGATAATAAAACTAAAAGCTGAAGAGATTTGTCCCGAGTCTAAAAAAAAAAAAAACTGAAACAAATCGCAACAAATCTCTGTCACTGCATAAAAACGTGGCTAAAATGAGTACGTCACTGCCTGACACAAAGCGCCTTTGCCAAACTGCGCTGAAGCCAGATGAGCTCATGCTATGGTGGTAATACAGTGTGCTCCTCTCCTTTTGGAGGGTCACGCTCTCTACTGCAGCCTTGAAATTTGGGACAGTGAAATCCTAACCCAAAGCAATGTCCATTTAGAAAAAACAAAAACAACAAAAAAAAAAAAACACACAAAAAAAGGCCTGTTTTTCACATTAAACAGTGATGTGGAGGAGCAGGCAGTAACTGGGGCTGAAGTCGTCTGGTGGCGGCTACAGAGCAAAGCCTGAAGGAGGGGCTGTCCGGCTCACATTACTCCTGGAACAGGAGCAGAATAAATACCCGCCGGTCTAGCTTATTGGTCATTGTGCTGACCTCCAACAGGAAACTGCGCAAGGGTGGGGCCGAGCGGCAAGGAGCAGCACCGGAAAAAAGATACACACTAAAAGAAAAAAAAAAAATCTATAAAATTTTTGGAGAAGATTCCTGAGCAAGTTGCAGAAGTGGGGTGGAGGGCAGCAAAGAAGATTGCGGCAGTCTTTTGGAGGTGGAGAACGACAAACTCCAGACGGAAATGAGACGAGGCGGAGAGAGGGTCAGAGCAAGTTAGGGTTAAAAGATCATGTCTGTGTGTGTTGTAGCAAAATGAGAAGATGTAACGCTACTGCGGATTGGTTAAGTCGTTTCCTCTCATGAATCTTATCAATTACTTCCTGGTTTCAGAAGAAATGCGGATGAAAATGCTCTGCAAGAATAAGGACAGCAAAACACCCTCCATGCCAGTTATACCAACATCTTTAAGCCATTTACTGGACAGAGGAGTCCAGCTGGCTTTTCTGAGTCATCAAGGTATTAAGTGAGATCAGTCAGATTATTCAGGAAGATAATAAATTACTTTTCCAGGATCCGACAACCAAGATTTAGACCATATGTTCACAATGAGCATCTCTCCACTGGTATCGTTAATCATCTATGTTGTGCTGGTGCATTATCTTTGCTGTCCTTTCTGCAGCCGGTTTTACAGAGTTGCATGATTTTTCCTTAGTTTATAAATAAGCCAGTCCTTATCCATCAGCCTTAAAACGTAGGAAGAAAAGCTCCGGTTGGAAAACAGCACACTAACTGAATGCAACCTTTAAATGTGTGCTTTTGTATTTTGATCTTGGAGTGAGAACGAAAGTCTTTACAGTGGCTCAAATCAACGTCAACTGAGCTTCTACTTAATTTAGAGAAAAGTTTGAAGTTTGCCAGAAAAGTTTGGTCTTTGTAGGTTCATTTTTTTTTAACACAGACAAAAAAACCATTAAAAAGAATGGCATTCCATAAAACTTAGAGAAGTTAATCTGTAATAAAGCCACAAGACAGTGACAAACCCGCCCAGGAGTTGTAATTTCATTAGTCTCAGCAAAGCATTTAAATGCCCGGCGTGTGGCCTGGTGTGCAAATGGGGTTTACAGCGCTGCATTCCACCGCAGCACCCCTGGGCCCAAACGCTGTAATGAGACAGCCACATTCCAAAACCTGGTGAGGGGAAACTCCGGACCCGACCAAAACATTCTCACATTGTGACTTTAACAAGTCAGGGACAGAAAACTCTTCTCCGGCTTTCAAGATCCGCAGAATTCCCAGCCTTCACTGCGAAGCGAAATGAAATCGGCTTAATGGGGTTCACTAGTAAGACCTAAACAACTTCTCTTTCCATGCGACAAGCCAAAAGTGAAGTCAGAGCCCAACTCTAAATGCCATGCAGCTGCCACAAGCTATTCCCTGTTATATGATTACATACAGTCAGTAAGTCATTATACAACAGCGGAACAGTGGAGTACTGTGATGAAGTGTAACAGGCCAATGAGTACTCCCCCACATCCTGCCAAGACCTTCATGTCCTCCACAATAACATCTGACGTGTTTTCTGACAAATCTGAACAAAATGCCACACAGCATCCACTCCGAAGTGTTATGTCATGTAAGGGTCAGGAAGTAAACAGCTTTGGAAATAATACAATCATTTAGTATTTGAGGATTTCCCTAGGAAATCGTTAATTATATCCGTCAAGCTGATAGGAGTTAATTGATAAGTCGAGTCACCAGAGTGCCTTATGAGAAATATCAGAACTATGTTCACATAAATGCAGTCAAGCTGGGGTATTTTACACTCCACCTGTCCTGCTTCATCCATAAAACCTCAACCCAGTGGCAGAGTCTGCCGACCAGCAAATCAGAGAGTAAAAAGTAAGGAGAGAGAAGAGAGAGTGGGGGAGTGGGGGGGCACATCTGGAAGTAATGAGAAGTCGAGGGATGCCTGGACCCACCCTCTCCCCAGAGTACTCCAGACAATTGACTGGTTTTAATCTCCTAATGAATTTAAAAATTGCTGAAATCCTTCACGTGCTTTTGGCAAGAGAAAAGTTTTGCAATCCTGATGGTTTCTATCTTTTCTCTACAGTGAAGAAGAAAACTGGCTCGAGCGGTAGAATATTGTCAAATATACGGGCGTTGAGTTTCTTTATTATTTAGTTTCCACAACGTTTGAAACAGCTTTAGTCAATTAAGCGGAGGTTAGGGCTGTGAGGAAAAGTCCTGGCTAAACGAGCCTCCATCCAAAATATCCAAACAGACCATGAATTTGGACTGCTGTAGAAAAACGCAATAGAAAATGTAACCAAATTAAATACGTCATTCTCTCTTTAAAATGACTGACGCACTCCAAAGTGCATTTCATTTTTCGGTGAAATGGGGATAATTAAACATATTTTTGGCTAAATTTTGCGGCGCGTCAGATGATGCTCCAAACAAACAAAAAAAACGGGGCAAACGACTCCGAGGCTCCGTCTCAAATTCCTCTGAATGCAAGACAGAAACGAAGATGCAAAATTATAAAAAACCCACCTTGTCTCAATTCTGCAAATTAATACAAACGTAGCATTGCATTTACGGGTGTTATAGTACATTTATAGCCCGTTACTTCACAGAAAAGACCCCGGCGGAATTGGGCAGAGCCGACGCTTCACAAAGAAAGTCTCCAGAAGGCGCGTTGTCTGAAGTGCCTCAAAACGTTTCGGAAAAGAGACGCGAAGCAATGGCTCAAACAGGGGAAATGAAACTTATTCACAGCGCTTACCTGGCCCCTCTCTGGAAATCCTTTCAACCTTCTCGGCCCAGGAGCGCTCACTGAGAGACAAAAACACTGCAGCCAAGATGCTCCGACCCTCCTCCCTCCCCGCTGCTCCTCTTAAAGGGCCAGCAGCCCCCAGGACAAGCGCAGGCTTTGGTCACTTACAGTAGAAACGATCTGACAGGTTTAAAATATGAAATAAAACAACGCAAACACATTCAACAGCTTCGAATGATGTAAAATCGACTATTTTGAGCGCTAGATTATGCTGTAATGTTATCTCCTAATCAAAAACATACCTGGAATGTTGGTTCTTTTTTGCTAGTTGGAGAATTTAATTGGTGGCAGCCATTCAGGTGTTGTAAAACGCCTTGGGGGACCAAGCGCCACCTTTGAGGCTCCTTCTCAGAGCAGCAGCTTCCAACATTCCCTCGCAGGGCAGCCCTTCCCTACGACTCCCCCTCTCAACTCCTTCAAACTAGCCAGCAACAATTAGCAAACACCTGATGGAACTCTAATGAGCTCTAATTAGACGTTAATAGAAGACCGATGTTGTGATGACTTCCTGAAGGTGGAGTTTCAAAAAGGTTTTAAAGAGACAGAGGTCTAATTTCAAGGCATTACATCAAATTTGTTTTAAGTCATGTTTGAGATTTAAAGCTTTTTTTCATAAAAGCTGAAGGTAACACTTACTCCAATCCATATGCCTGGAAAATACATAATACTGCTCTAGAATTGATTTAAAACAAAAATAAACATTGAGGGTAGAAATAACAGTTTACAGAATTACATGCCACACACACAACTATTAAAACTATTGCATGCAACAATAAATAAATAAAATAAAATAAGCCCACATTTTGACTCACATTAGTGCCATGTATGGCTAACCCAGAGACTGTAGGGGAAACTTTTCAGAACAAGTCCAAAAAAGTGGAAACAAGCAAAATGCAAAGCAGCTCTCTTCAGACCACATTATATATATATTTTTTAAATTACACTTTGTACAATTACATTATTAAGGCTGTTTTAAAGTGGTAAACGTCTCTGTCATTTTTGTCATTGTTGGTATAATGTTTGCCGTTTATCCCACTATTTTTTTCTTTCTCTCTCCATATCCTGTGCTATAGCCTGTCCTGTTTGCCACCAGAACCAGAAAAAAATAAAAATACTTTCTCTCCTTTTGCAGTGTCTCTCTGACACTGCATAGGAACCCGACCCACCACACTGTTTCTGAGCTGCTAGGTCAGAACACACTGCAAAATGTTGTATTCACTGGTAAATATTTAATCCATCAAAAATATTTATGAGCCACAAATTGTTCAACCCACCTCCCCAACCCCAAAATGAAATGCTAAATGGTTTGAAGAAAGAAATATTTAATAGAATACAGACTAAATAAATACAAAACTACCCAGTAAAAAAAGCAGTTGTAAATAACAGCGCAACTTGTTTGGTTATTACAGTTTATGTGCCACATGTTGTTTACAATAGTGCAATTTTAAAGATACAGTAGTAATAAATGACTACAAAATAATAAAAAAAAAGAAAACATATTTAACAAGTAATGATGAATGCATAAGAGCACAGAGTGCTTTCTAACAGCAGATCCCAAAGTCTAAAGGGGGCTTGCCCACACAGGTAAAGCTTATTCAGTTATCACACTGCAGGCTGAGAGGAGATGCAACAGCCTGAACATATTTGTGTAGATAAAGGAGATGATTCAGCAAGAGGCAGAGCTTCTGTGATAAAACATCGGACAGAGGAATTCACAGTTAAAAAGAAAAAAAAAATCAGCTTTGGACTTTTTTTTTTTTTTTTTACTACAAGAAGTGAGACCTGAGCTTGCATGGAACGAGCCCAGCAGGTCTCTATATTAAATTCTTAGAGAGAGATGAGTTGATATAAGAGACGACTTGAGGACGAAGGAATGTAAATCATTTGGTCCACTTACAACAAAAGAAAACTCACAGTGAGGTGACTTTTTTTTTTTGTTTAAAACTTTGGCAGTGACTACTACCAGAGCTGGTTTAGAATAACCTAACAAATAAAAAAAAAAAAAAAAAAAAAAAAAAAAAAAATGGCCTGACAAAAAACAGGCCACCGACAGTCTTTCTAAAGCAAAACCGATAAACCTTAAAGCAACTCAGAAACATAATGTTTGGTAAAACCACTAGAGCCAGATCAGCTCAGACAGATTACTTTGGGTTTGGGAGATTACTTTAGACAGCTTTCTTTTAAACGCAGCTTTCTTTTCTCTTAAAGAACCTCACACCAAATGACAATGTTTACTAAGCAGATAACCTTCAAGTATAAACAGATGAGATTTTTTCCTACAGTGGTGTGAGCCTGTAGTGATGGTGGAGGGGGAGGATGGTTCAGAAGGGAAAAAGAGGTGACATCTATCAGTGTGTGGATGGTAGCAGTAGTGGTGTTGCACTGGGAGAAAAGGGTTAAGGAATGAGCATATGGATGGGGATAAAATAACAACCAAGATGAGGAATGATTGTGTGTGTGTGTGTGTGTGTGTGTGTGTGTGTGTGTGATGGTAACAGTTGGAGCGCAATGATAGGACAGATGGGAGGGGATGGTGCTAGTTTCTACAGCTTGTTGCTTTGAGTTGCTGTCCAGTTTTCAGCGCCTCAACAGTCAATTTTGCGAAAACTCGATCTGCCATAGGAGTTCCTGAAACACAGACAACGAAGAAGAGAGCGACACTGAAATTAGGCTAAAACAGGCAAACCTTTATTTAACAGTCTTCAAATAATTTTGGTCTCATTTAAACAATTTAAACAAAGATAATGCTGTACAAATGTTTTCAACTGCCTACTTTTATTTTTATTTCACATCCAATGTAATTGACTCAGTTTGGGCTTAAATTGATCCTTTTCTCTTTATTTTTAATCTTTGCGCCACCTTCATAAGAATCTATGAATTCTTGCAAAAAAAATATTTACACCTCTTGAATGCTTCATGTAAAACCACCAGTTTCAATTTTGTTTAACGTCTATAAAAATACTCTTTGCAAAGCTAGAACAGCATTTTTTCATCATTAACAGAAGAGAATAAATATAACAAATTAATTTGATTCTTTTATCAATTAAATCATTGGCATCTTCCCAAATGTAATTACTTCTTCCTCTGTAAGTGAGGTAGCATTGGAGATAAATCTAGAGCTTGATTTGCATTTGGAGTGTTTTGGTTTAGTTGAGCTTTTTGAGTTAAAAAAAAGGTATTAGATCCTTCTAATCTTTTAATTTGAACATTGGATACAATCCTAACCAAATTATTAAAAAATCCTCTCCTTAGTAAACAGATGCAAACCACAAGCCTTTAAAATTGCTGTAATTAAACTTTATTTAAAAAAAAAATCAGGATGATTTAAATTACAGATCTGTATCTAATCCGTCTTATCTAAAATTCTTGAGAAAATGCTGCTTGAGAAATTAAGTGTGCAAAGATCTGTTTCAGGAGTTTCGGTCCGGTTTCAGAGGACTGAAATAACTCCCGAGAAAGTTACAAATTACATTCTCTTGACCTCAGATAATGAACTTGTATCTTTGTATCTACTCTGGTTTTGATAGATCTCAGTGCTGCTTTTGACACAGTTGACCACAATATTCTCTTAGAAATATATTTTTTTACTTCACAACATTGCTTCCGTTGCTTGGGATTTGTCTAACACACAAAATCCTAATATTATACATTAACGTTTGTGAATGTAGCACAAAATAATATGGAAAAAGTCAAAGCCACTATCATTGTGATGAAATTTGGTTTCATGTTGCTCCACTGTTACAGTTTGAGAAGCAGCATGAGCTCATTCTGTGAACCCCCGCGCATCTGTTAACCTCTCAAATTACCGTTGTGTTTGCACAGTCTGCACGGGCAGGGGTCTGTACAGCTGGGGGATTTTGCGGGTGATGAGAGGACCCAGAGCTTCTTTTAGTTTGTGGTAGTTCCTCTCCAGCTCTCGGTGGTACTCTCTCTGGTCTGGCCCAATCAGGCTCTTATTCTTCCTCAGGGCGTCCTCACACCTGCATCACAAATAGCAGAGGAGAGGCCGACGGCCGGGTTTTACTTTTCTCGGTTACACAGCGGTCTGGAAGTCGGAGGTGTGGAGCGTGTCGTCACCTCTTGGTGAAGTCTTTAAAGCAAAGCCGCAGTTTGTTGTGATGGCGAAACAGCTTTGGGTCCTCTGGAATGTCGGAGAGAAAGACCTGCGCCACCTCAAGGGGACCCTGTGAGGGGGAGAAACCGTTACATATCGGCAGAGGAATGTCTAAAGACTGAACCAGACCTTAGGCCAGATTTAAAGCGGCTTAATACTTCAGAGGAGGTTGGCTTTGTGACATTTTCAACATGATACAGTTAGAAATCATTTTTTTTTAAGTCAGGGCACCTGGTTGACAGTGGTTCCCACACACCCCTGCAGCACCATTTGAAGCATCTTAGGGTCTGCCGGGTCTTGATTCGTGGCAAAGGCGAGCTCCTGCGTCTTCTTCTGCATGTCTTCAATCGCCACCTCCATTGGAACAAGGATAATCTGGAGAAACGACAACAAAAAAAACCCTAAATAGAAGCAGTCGCTGCAAAATGCCCCACCTGCTCCGTTATTTTGCAGATATCTACCTCCTCCTTGTGGATGACGTTGACGCGTGTCTTTATGTAAGGGAAGGCATGAGACGTCGTCAGGATCGTTTTGCGTTTGTACTGCTCATGCAGGTCGCCGTGTGCCCGGCCGTCCAGAGTGAAGGGAGTGCAGTACATGAAGGTCCGCAGGTTGTAGTTCTTGTCAAAATAGGTGATTCTTTCTTTCAACTCGTATGTGTCAAAGTAAGGCTCGACGTAGGTGATCTGGAGGTAGGCCTGGAAAAGCAAAACTCACAACTAGTTTTTTTTTTTTTTTTTCTAAAACATCTACGTTTTTATTCATCAAACGAACATATTAGGCTACCTTGTTGGGATCCAGTTTACTTTTGTCGACCGGACTAGAGTCCTTGATGATTTCAACCACGTCGTCCTCAAACCTTTCCGAGTAGAACTCCTGCACAACGAAGAGTTTCATCTTGAAGTTTCTCATAAATCTCCAGTGACACTTTTATTAGGATAGTGATAAATCAGCTTGCCTCAAGCCTGTGGGAGATTTCAGCTAATTTGGTGATTGAAGGCTCCTTGTAGACAAACTCCTGCTCATCCAAATCTCCAAAGTGGCAGCCGTAGAAACCAACTCGGAAGTAGGTCCCAAACATTCTCTACAGACTGCAGGCAGGATACAAAAACAAAAACAAAAAACAGTAAGATAATTCAATTCATTTAGAAGTGGAGAAGCAAAATAACGAATTGAAACCGAAGAGGCAGCGCCTCGACATTTGAGATGGGGCCATGAAGCACAAAGGAATGCAATCTGAAAGCTG